GAATGGATAAAAAAAAATGATGAATGGATAAAGAAATTGTGGTTTATATATACAATGGAATACTACTTGGCAATGAGAAAGAATGAAATCTGGCCTTTTGTCACAACATGGATGGAACTGGAGAGTGTTATGCTAAGTGAAATAAGTCTTACAGAGAAAGACAGATACCATATGTTTTCACTCTTATGTGGATCCTGAGAAACTTAACAGAAGACCATGGGGGAGGGGAAGGGAAAAAAAAAAGTTAGGGAGGGAGCCAAACCATAAAAGACTCTTAGAAACTGAGAATAAACTGAGGGTTAATGGGGGATGGGAGGGAAGGGGAAAGTGGGTGATAGGCATTGAGGAGGGCACCTGTTGGGATGAGCACTGTGTGTTGTATGGAAATGTATGGAAACCAATTTGACAATAAATTTCATATTAAAAAAAAGTTTTAGTTCACTGAGCTGATGATGCCAGCTATGTATACTTTCATAATAATTAGGTATTAAACTGGTCATATATTACTTCCTTGAATTAGTTATCAGAGATCATGAAAAGTTAGGAATGTGTTAGATCAGGTGCACAGAGTGTTGATACAAAGCAGTCAATCTGATCAATCAAACAGTGCTAGTCTAGTGTTCAGTATCGCCAGGACACTCTCACCTCTGTGCTGAGGACAGGTTTGAGCTGGGGGAACAGGCTCCAGAGAGGACCAGCTGTTCTTGCACTGTAAGTCTCATTGCTGATCTGACAGACATATCTCGGGAGGCTCCAGTGCATGGCAGACTGCAAACCCACATAGCATATCCTGATAGATGTTGGTTGATGAGTGTTAAACAGTCTGCAGGAGGGAAGAAGCAGCAGCTGGTGGGACATTAGTAGCTCTGACTGTTTTTGTGACATTTTATCATTCTGAATAAAATTGTAAATATTTAGCCTTGAAATCTAAATCTCTGATTAAGATCTCTCCCCTGAGCTTCAGAGCCTCATTTCCTTTTTCCTACCAGACATCTGCCCTTATATGTTCCTCAGACATTTCTACCTCAGCATATCTAAACTGAATTCATTTTCTTTCCTCACACATAACACTTCTTCCTGTGTTCCTTAAATCAAGTGAAAGGCATTATCATTTGCTAAGAGATCCATGTCAAAACTTTGGGATCCTTTTAGGCTCCGCTCTCTATATCTGCTTCCTTTCTCATTTAACCACTATATTTTATCAACTTCTGTCTCCCAAATATCAGCGAAATCACTCCCCCTGCTCCATCCCCCCTGTCACCCCAGATCCTTCACATTTCTCCCCAAATACAGATTCCCTTAATCTACTACCTTCCTACCCTGAGTTACTGTCCACAGCACCACCATACTTATCTTTTAATATATATATATTTTTTTCAATATATGAAATTTATTGTCAAATTGGTTTCCATACAACACCCAGTGCTCATCCCAAAAGGTGCCCTCCTCAATACCCATCACCCACCC